GGCTTTACGAAAATCGATCACCCCTTCTCCCACTACTACTACTACTACTACTACTACTACTACACTACTACACTACTACACTACTACACTACTATACTGTACTATACTATACTATACTATACTATACTATACTATACTATACTATACTATACTATACTACACTACCACCACCACCACTACGACTACTACGTTGACGACGACTACGGCTACCACTACGACGACGACGACGACGATTAATCCTCGTCTCCTGCCGCTGCTGCTCCGCTGCTGCTGCTGCTGCTGCTGCTGCTGCTGCTGCCACTACTACATGCGACTGCTACGCCTACTGTTACTGCGACGGCCACCACTGCTGCACCGCCACGGCCATTGCAATTGTTTCTACGGTGCGACTACTACTCATCTTTCTCACGCTCTGAAATATGTTCATTCCTGTCACTGTCGCGATTACTGTCTTTATTGCTACTGCTGTTGCTATTACTAGTCCAATACTCTACTTCTTCATTGATTCTTCATGTTTCTGTCAATATGAAGGCTGCCTAGGCACTGCTCTTGCAGCGTCACGTCTCTGCCGAAGAAGCGTCGGTATGCCAGACGGTAGTTTCCGTTGACCTCGACGAACTGCTCAGGTCTTCAGGGCTTGGGGCCGGTCCCTTCCCATTCGGGGGTCTGGAGAAGCCAGCAGTATATACCCCGAACTGATGATGGCTCCACTGGGGCTGCAGACTCGATAAAGCGATTGGCCCACGCCTTGGTTGACAAACACATCGGGGAAGCGCTGCGCCCATGTTAGTGGTTAGTGGCTCCGCGGCGTCGCGTGGTTCACGCATGCTCACGCAATGACAACTCACAGCACAGCTTCCCGCAGCACACTAGGCCAACGCATCGGAAATGGGCCATAGGCGCTTGAGCCGGGTGGCTGATGAACTTTGGTCTTTTCTTTTGGCCCTTCGGCTTCGGGCCTGAAGGCTTGACAGGTAAAGAGAAGTCGAACTCCACTGCTCCCTTCCCCTGTGTTGGAGAAAGGGGTACGGCTGATGAAGTGACGTCGAACCTACAAAGTCTGCGGTGTTCTGACTTCAAGCAGCTACTGTGCTACCGCGAACCGCCGGTCATCGGTGTTGTCGCCGCCGTAGTCGGCCAGCATCATTACTAGTCTTCATCTATGATGCTTGCCGATGTTTGCCTCTATATTGTCCTGAGATGTCGAGTACCAATGACACTTTAGCTACGAAAGCGGCTTGCCTTGGAATCGTTGATACTTTTCGTTTTGCTCTGCTCAGTGCCGCTCGTAAGATTTTAAAGCTGGACTACCGTCACCGTCGTCTCTGCCGTTACTGTTCCTGCCCCTGTCTTCGTCGTTGAGATGTGGTGGTGCTGGTGGTGATGAAAACGATGGTCTCGGCAGCAGCAGCATGTTGTTTTTTTTACGTGGTCTTCGCGTTATTGGTTTGCTGCTCTGCCGAAGGCCTCCAGCCCACCAAGCATTCGCAAAGCAGCGGTTCTGGCCAGCCTGCAGGCGCGGGCCGTGACGATTCGACGACAAACAGCCTTTGAACAGGTGGCGCTTCTCGGTCTGCCTTTCACGTTGCCTGCTCTTCCAAACAGTGCTGTGGGTCCGCGATGCCTGGAGCGCTCTTCCCACGGCAGTCAAGTCGTGCAACCAGCCACGCGCCAGTTGCAACATGGCGTCACAAAAGTCTCAGCAAGCGGTAGTAGCTGGGGCTTTGCTTTTCCTGTTGCTAAGATACCGTTTGCAAGTTGCGAGACATGTCTTGCTCTGGTGCCCGCCGAACTGATCTCAAGTTCAGCTGATGCAGGCAGGTCATTGTGCAGCTTCCATGCATGAATCTGCTCGCAGACAGTGTGTCTGCAAAGGCAGTGAAAGCTAGATGAAAGCAGAAGCAGTCATGCCTGAAACTAGACTGAAACCTGAAAGATGCTCCGGTGCCTCAGACATATGCCAGTATGGCAAGTCCTGCGCCTGACGGCAGAATCACGTCGCATGCGTGAGCATCAGTGTCTGCATGTAAAGAAGCCTACAAGTACACAAACCTCGTTTGCAGCGTGCAGGGACTTGAATCTACAAGTATCCATATCCGCAGTCAATGGCGACCAACCGTTGCAAACAGCTCTAAAGTCCACCTCTGATTGGGACATGCGGGACTGCTAGTGCGCAGTACGGCCTTGCCATATGCGTGCACGCCTGCCTGCCTGCCTGCCTGGCTGGTTGTCTCAGTCTGTCTCTCTGTCTGTCTCTGTCTTTCTTTCGCCAGGGCTGTGGTGGGGAGTTGCCTCCCCATCGCGCGCATGTGCCTCCCCACCTGTTGCGGGTGCCAATAGCATTATCAGGCATGCCTGTCTCTGTCTCTCCGTCCCTCTGTCCCTCTGTCTCTCTGTCTTCTTGCCTGCCGGCCTGGCTGGCTGGCTGGCTGTCTGTCTGTCTGTCCGCCGGCCTGCCTGCCTGCCTGCCTCTCTGCCTGGCTGGCTGGCTGGCTGTCTGTCTTGTCTGTCTCTGTCTGCCTGTGTGTCTGTCTGCAGGTCTATCTGTATGTCTTTCTAGCTGCATGTATGATTGCATGTCATGCAATGCTCAACAGCGATGATATGTGTTTGTATATGTTTACGTATAAGCATTCCTATGTATGTGTATATGTTTTGAGTACGTACAGTATGTCATTCTATGTCTACACCTGCGAAAAAACGTGCACGACTGCACGCGCACAGCTTCGTCGGCTCACACTGACTGCCACGCAATAGACGAAGTGAAGCTGCAATCCGCGTGCCTGCTGGTCCAGGACGATGTCTTCCCTCTTGATCTCAAAGAGTGTCAAAGTCTCCTCGGATGCAGAACGAAACAACTAACCATGCCGCACAGTCTCAAAAGCTGTGTGCAACCTGATCGTCTGCTGATTCTTGCCGCTGCGATGGGTTTGTGTCGTGAGGGTCTAAGCAGCCAGGATGGCAATAGATCGGCAAGACCCGGAAACCCACAACAAAAGGAGCCCTGACTCTTACAACCAGCAATGCTCTGCAAATCGCACTGCGAGGTTGAGAAATCATCGGCGACAGTGCGTCTCTTGCGGCCAAGTCACCCGCGCTTTGTTTCCGTAGTGAAACTGGCTGAGGTAGTGGTCCAGTTCTCGGCTCGCATCAAGAGCATCGAAGACCTTCGAAACGGGCTGACCGTTGGGGAATCGAGCACAGACCCAAAACCCTAAACGGCAGTTGTGTTCGCTGAAGATACGAAGGGGTCTGTGGTGGTGTGTGTGTGTGTGTGTCTGTCGCTCTCGCTCTCTCTTTTTTCTGTCTCGTTCTCGGTCTGTCTTTCTGCCTGCCTGCCTGCGTGCCTGTCTGCGGGTGTCTGTATGTGCATGCTTGTGTAGCTGGCGCCTCCGTGCTTCCACGCAAGAAGGAATTCCCGTTGCAGTTGGCAGTGCTCGTGTTGCTTGCGGCCTAGAAGCGACCCTGTGTGCAGGAAGTTGCCGTCCAGGTCTAACGGCTGGAATCGGCTGGAAACACACATATACAAAACCGGAGAATCCCGAAATCCGTTGAACCGAGACACCCCGCGACAGCTCCGATGTCTTGTCCCTCCGATGCTGACCCCTAGAGGATATGGACTCCTGTGGCTGTGTCCATCCTCCGTCAAACATCACATCCTAGGCAGTTGCGAAACAGCAGATGCACTTCTACACATCACCATGTCTCGTATTCCCAATCTCATGTCTCAAACTATGCCTGCAGTTTGTGGTGGTAAGTAACCATTTAGTGTCATTGCCATTCGTCGACTATCCAATCACAATTACCACAACTACTATTTCTGAAATGTCAAGAAAGGAGCACTTCACCTGCAGCAAGGAATCTCAGAGCCAAGCGATCTGCAAGAAGCTCTTGCCGATTTGCATGTGTCTCTTCAGTGTTCGCCGATGGTACCTCAGGCTAGCTGGGGAAGGCTCTGCAGAAGGGATGTTTTGAATCCTTATTCCTCACTTCAGATGCCCTCAACAGCCCAGGAGTAGAATTTCGGATTCTCTGCTGCAGATCCAGGCACTTGGCACAGCTTCTTTCAGCCGAGTTGTTTTCATGGCCTCTGGTAGCCCTAGATGGTTTGTTCAAGGCAAAGTTCTTCGATCATTCGAAAGGAGCTTGACGGCCAGCCAAAGCTTGAAAGCTTTCACCATCAAGCGCAAAAACACGCCTCCCCAACCCAATGACCAAAATGACTTTGCTCTACACCTCGAGGTTTCTCAAGCCTTCGCCACAAGCTTCGCATGCCCAGGCCGACAACCTGAAGACTCTGAAGGCTCAGGCACCCACGCAGAGATGATCGCCTTTCTCTCTGCTGTTGGGATCCTCTGGCTGGAGATATCCACCACCATCTTCCATTTGGAACTTGCACTCGCCTGGCCGGCTCAAGGCTGTTGGGGGGTGTCGGGGTCTGTGCTTCGGCTTCCAATCTGTGGGTGGCAGGCTCGCGGTGTGACGTGCCAGCACCGACTCGTTTGGTTCCACCAAACCCTCTCCGTATAGGCTCAGTTTCTAGTTTCTTGAAGGTAAACCCGGCCTTGAGCAGTTCAAAGGAAAGAGAGCACGATCGTCGTATGCAGAAGCAACAGCTGCGTGGTGCAAGCTGTCGATGTGTTTGTCCCCCACCCCCGAAAATCTTGTCTTGGCCGACAGCTCTAAGCTAGGAGTCGTCCTGGATGCAGCCCGGCAGATTTGTGCGAAGCTTAAAGGCTTGACGATGGCTTGAAGCGAGACGGAGCCCACTGCAGTCCCTAAAGTCCCGCAAAACCCGCCGTTGTCGGAGCCTACGTGCCACGTGCTCTGGACCCACTAGAAGAACACCATGGAGATGCAAGCCGAAACTCAACAGACAAACGAACACATCTCAGCTGAAAGCCGGATTCAATCCAAAAGGGCCCTGCGGAAACTCAGAAGAGAGAAGCTCACCAGACCCTCAACAACTCTTCGGGTTTGGGGCTCCGAAATAAACAAAAATGCCTTGCTCGGATTTTAGGGTTCGGTTTCGAGAGCCAGGGTAGAGTAGCCCCTCAATCCTCTACCCCAAATGGGAGTTTCCGAAAACAAGGGGTACCTTATTTTGGGGTCCTTATAATAAGGATCCTATTATTTAGGGTACTATATTAGGGTCCCCTATTTTCGGATACCCTCAAATATTTCTCTGCAAGGCCTCAAGGGCCGCCTGGAGTACTCTCCGCTTCCTTAGGGCTTCGAAGTCTAGTCTAGAGTTTAGGCTTCTGATTGGTTGTTGACTGGCCCTTTATCACTGTATTAGTGTGTTTCCGGCCCAAGAATCCTGCTATAGTATTGCTATGACGAGGATGATCAGTATCAAGAGGAATATGATTACAAACAATTTCTTGGGGCTTGTCTAATCAATGATCGTCCGCACGCAGGGCTTTTGGCTGTAGGGCCTTCGCACGTGCGTTTGCAGGTTTTCGTTCCGAGGTTCAGGGAAAAGGGGCGGTGGCCACGAAATCAATGAGGCTTGTAGTGTCATAGCTTACACCCTGGCACCAGCAGGTGTCTGCACCCCGCATCCCAATATCTTCCCGGACACACTGCAACCAGTCTAAATATCGCATCATCTCTCATGCAGAAGGGTGTCTCTGTTTCACTGGGAAAGCTTCTGCTTGCGCAGCTGATCTTGCTACCAATCGCGACACCCATGACAGTTGCTGTTCTACTGCTGTTTATACCGGAGTATCAGCTTTGCCACGGTCTTTAACTTAAAATTCTGCTCCCGTGATTTTCTTCCGTGCATCAACTTTTCTGAGCGCAACACCCTCGTCCCGGTCCTCTGGTCCTGGCCGACAGCACGTGCAAACGAAGTGATGAAATAACATATAACATCCGTTAACGTGGACAGCACTGTAGGAATGCAGTGGGATAGCAATCCAAACATACTCCGTTCTCCTGTTTACCACTCGCCCGATGGAGTGCTGCAATGATCAAGGTGCAGCCGTCAGCCTTGTCATAGAGCCCTCAACCCCAAAAGCATATAGCTGTGAAAACTCCTATACCGCCACTGAATCAAGGCTTATAATCCCCAAGGGTTCCCTGCCCTGAAGCCTGGATGCTAACCTAGCCTTGCGACAAACCTGAAACCCCTTTAACCCGAAATCCCTAACACAGGACGGGCAGGCTGACTGCTACTCGTCTCCTCACATGGAGACAAGCTGAGTTCTACAAGCACTGTCGTGACAACCCACTTCTTCTGGTCCTCTGACCGCAGCATTGCACAAGAGAGAGAGAGAGAGAGAGCAAGAGCTGGAGCTCGGAGGACAATGAGTCTGCATCTGTAGATGTGTGTACATATATATATATATATCTTTATATTTATATTTATACACACAGTTTCATGTCAACCGTTTGTACCATTACATGACCCACAAATTCGCACTCAAATGACTTCGCTCCACGGCGCCACCATGCTAGGCCAGCAAAGGGAACGTTCCCGAAGCCTTTCACTTTCTGGCGCAAGATTGAAACAAATGAAGCTGCCGGATCACAGACTCCTGAGGTGTAAATCATCAGCGCCTCTTCGTGGAGTCTTGAGGCAAAGGACATGTCATGCGTGACCTAAGAACCCGACACGAGTGCTTAAAACGCGATGCCTGTTGGTAAAACATACAGATGACATGTTACGTACAGCTGTGAAGACATCCATCCATTCATTCATATATCCTTATATCCAAACAGACATACAAACATACATACACACATACACACATACATACATACATACATACATACATACATACATACATACATACATACATATATACATATACATACATAGATACATACATAGATACATACATACGCACATACGTACATACATACGTACATACATACATACATGCATACATACATACATACATACATACATACATAAAAAACGTACATATAGACTCCGTCTCTCTCTCTCTCTATTGATCAGTGGCTCGGTTATCCACATTCTTCGGAATCCGTCTAGCCTGTATACATGGACATCCTTTTATTGCTTCAGTCCTGCATGGCACTCTCGACCTTGTGCTGTGCATGAGCTGAAAGGTGCTGATCCTGCCAAACTGTACAGATCAGGACTCAGGACTTCGGTCTGCTGCTTAAGGGTGGTGGGCAGTCACAGCAGGCTAGCTGATGCTTGGCGCACAAGCCTGTAAGCTATCCGAGTCATGCTTGAGGTTGCAAAAAAGTGACTGACTGGTCTGCGCTGAGCTGAACAGCATTCTGGCCTCAATCCGGCACCATTCCTTCTCGATCAGATGGCCTCAAAGCACAGAGCAAGCTGTGACCAAGCTCCATTGCAACGGTTCCCTCGAAGGACTTAGCTACAAGTAGAAGCGAATGTCCAAAAGCTGTCTGTGGGCTGGGCAGCGTCTGTGCTTGATGGCCAGAAACTCGCGGATCGTGCGCTGGATGGTCTGGCCAATACGAACATACATTCGAGAGTTGCTGCAGGCCAAGAGCAAATCCAGAACGCGCTGCTGTTGTTGGAAATTACTGCTCGTGCATGTATTGTGAGTTTGTATACAGTCTTTGCTTTATCTTATGATGCGAAGCTAAAATATCATACTCATGCTGAAACTGCTGGGCTGTTCCATTGCCGGCTTCTCCTGTCCAGTTGCATGCCCGTGGTATTGGATGCTTGCACAAGAGATTTCGATCATTGAATTCCATCGTGACACTTCCTTGATGCTCTTATACTGACATAGCACGACACAAAGGACCGTCTCTCCATGTCATAGTCATAGTTTCAGGTACGATCAAACAGGCCTCCGCGTTACGACACTGTCGGTCTGCTGAGTTCTGCTGCCGTGGCCGTGCCATGCTGGTGTATTCTCTCCCTCTCTCTCTCTCTCTGTATATATATATATATATACGTACATAATACAAATGTATATATATATATATAATACCTA